TGACCCTGCTTCAAACTGAGCGCAAGATGAATCTAAGCTGATGTAGTACTTCTCTCCATCATCCCTGCGAAAAACTGGTCGGGAAACCTGTCAAGGCAATCTCATGCTTCTTTTAGTCGCCTGCTCGACGGCTATTTTGGAGGAAATGTGGGTGGAGTTGGGCTGTGTCAACTGGTCTCAGAATCAAATACTATAGTAACAGCTGGGGGGTCGTATCGAGGCCCTCCAGAAGGGGGGGGGGTGTAAAATTTTTGAAATTTGTCCAACGTGACGGTTGACCCTGGTTTGAAGTGTCCTGTCCCACCTGTATGGTAGGATATGGGTTGCGGTAAAGCAAGAGTCTATTCAGGCATCTAGCTAATGATATTTTCGGAGATTTTGATGGTAGTACTTTTGGTAGTACTTTGGATTTCCATTAGTTAAAAATTTCTTGAAACATCCTTTCAATCTTTCGCGCCCTCATATCGACATTTTTGAACCCCTTTTCATCCTAAGAACGCTTTGGATGTACAGCAGTAATGGAGAAGTGTATCTTCGCAAATCGTCATTGATTCTTTATCATTTTGACATTGAGAGCTCGGCTGATTTAGGGAAACCTAACGCACATCAGTGCCTTCAGCTCGAGTCGGTTTTCCTTTGATTTGGCTATTTCCGATTCTGCCTAGCACTGCTCATTTTAATATGGTTTTTTTTGTTGATTAAATTGTGCTTCCGATTTTTGCTACCATTGCGTAGAGCAGGGGTGATATAGTGATGATCCCGGCCCGTGAAAAACGAAGCCGCTGGTCTTACGCATGGTCTGGGACCATAGATCGAATCAACCTCAGGCAGGTCAAGCCTTTCACCTTTTTGGCTTGGTAAATTTGGTAGCAGATTTGTTCGGCGGATGAAAGCTTTGACTCTTACTCATACATCGACGGTTCCTCGTAGGTCATTCTATCCATAGTTGAAGTCCATGTAAATGCCTCAATGGAAGTTGAGAAAGCGGCGCATGTTGAAAAGTTCAAGTGGCGTAACCGAATGCTTTATTATTCATTCATGTAGATGTATAACATTGAGTAGAATGCTTACGAAGTATGAGTTTTTTCTCTTGAAGTTGGGTGAGCACTGAAAGTTGAAACTGTGTTTCCTAATAAGGCGCAATCAGGTGCTAACTATTTGGTGTCATGTTGCTACAAAAATAATCATGAATCAACTGTAGAGGTATTATTAGAAGGAAGAAATGAGTTTTATATATGAATGTAATTTGCGTTTCTGATTAAGGACAGGAAATCATTTGTAATGGTAGCAGATACTTTTAGAAACACCATCGAGGTGTTTTTCGAAACATTCACTGGAGGAAGGTAGCGCCCTGGTCAGATCCATTAATAGGGAATTCTATGCAAATAACTGTGCAAATGGACTTGGTTTCCTGAAAGAGCACGAAAGCTTCGGGGAAATTTGGTCAAAAGAAACCTCTCCAATGTGGGCACTAATCTTTTGTCAATTCTTAGTGTTTGGGTAATTTCAGGGTGAAATGGTGGATCGGATCGAGTATAATGTGGAACATGCGAAGGAGTTTGTTGATCGGGCGGTGGCGGACACCAAAAAAGCCGTTCAGTATCAAAGCAAAGCACGACGGGTGAGTTCAGCGTTATTTTTCTCCTTGTTATTAGTCCCGATCTATTGTCCGAGGTGTTCAGCATTTTTGTCATGTGGTAGAAGTGGTGGCTGTGAATTGTGATCGTAGCCGTGGTCGT